GTCGCTCTGAGTCAGAGTGGACTTGACAGCGATAGGTTTTGTTTTTATGTATATACATTGGTTGGCATATATCTCCTTGCTCTGTAAACTGAGAGGAGCCTAGAAGCAACAACACCCTTATAGCAATAAACACACCTAGTGGCCAGATCTTGGTTTCTAACACCATTGTTCAATAAAAGGAACCAGGGCTCCTTGGAGAAACAGCTGATTCTAGGACTGGGGCAGAAATTATACAAGATGAGCCTGGAGCTCCTGTAGCGGCAAAACCTGGAGGAAGAAGAGATATATCTGCCATGCAGAAGAATTTCAAATAATTTATGTAGCCCTCAAGGAGGTGAAGCCTATCTCCCCATACCTTAAGTATGGGTTGTTCATAGAAACTTCCTTCCAAAGAGTATAGTATGGAAAGGGGTAAAAAATAACTTTACAGTGGAGAAACCTGACAAACATTAACTCAGCCAGGTTATCAAGGTCAATATCAACAGTGATTGGTCATCTAAATAGTATATATCCTTGGTATGAAGTGATGAAAATGGCACCTTAACTCTGTGGGTATGAAGTGATGAAAAGGGCACCTTAACTCTGTGGGCTTCTTCTGAAAAACCCATAACTCCATGTGAGGGGAGAAAAAAAACTACAGAAATCCAGATAGAGGGTCATTCTACAAAATCCCTGACCAGTACTCCTCAAAACTGTCAAGATCATCAAAAACAAGGGACATCTAAGAAACTGTCACAGTCAAAAGGAGCCTAAGGAGACGTGATAATTAAACATAATGTGATATCTGGAGTCGAGGAACAACATTAGGTAAAAATTAAGGAAATCTGAATAAGTATGGACTTCAGTTAAAAATAAGGTCTCAATATTGGTTAACTGTAACAGCTAGTAAGGTAAAATGTTAATAATAGGTGAAACTGGACCTAGAGTATATGGAACTTCCCACACTATCATTACAATTTTTCTGTAAATCTAAAACTGTTCTAAAACTTAAAAGTTGATTTTTATAAAATGATGACAGCTTAAAAGGGCATCTGGCAGAGACTTCTGGTAAGATGGAAGAATAGGCAGACAAGTGACACAGACCCTCTTCAACAAAGAAAAACCAATTGACAGAGATACAGAAGATAATCCTGGAGCCCTGAGCTTTGAAAGGAACTATACAGAAGTGGATTAGGCACCAACTAGTGGAAAAACCTGAATGAAAACAGTGAGTACAGACACAGTCAGAGGTGCAGACTGTCAGCTACTCTGACAGAACCAACAGCCTGAATATTTCCAAGTGGTATTGGGGCCTGAGTGAGAATTAACCTAAAGATCAGCCCTAGTCACCAAGGGCTGCAGGGACAACTGCACTGGTGGCCTATGACTAGGAAGGGAAACAGCAAGGTGGGAGACAAGCTGAGCTGTTGACTTTCCGCTGTTCAGAGGGCGCAGCCGTTTTGATTGTTTACATGCAGCAGCCATTTTGATTGTTTACACGCAGCAGCCATTTTGGATTTTTTAAGTGACCGAGGGTGCAGCCATTTTGAATTTTTATAAGCAGTGACCATTCTGGATATTTAAAGTGATCGAGGGCACAGCCATTTTTAATCTTTGCAAGTGACAACCATTTTGGATTTTAAAGTCACAGCATTCTCATTTGGATTCCAGGGACCTAGGAATAGACTCTGTTTGCCAAGGTCAGCAGGGACATACAAAAGGCTGGCAACAGGAAAGGAGACAGGTGGTGAGTGTATAAGTGCTGTCAACTAGTGAATAGAGGAGCACAGCACAGTACCTGCTTACAAAGATAACATACAAACAAAACAAAGAAAGAGAAAATCATGGGCAAGTCACTCCAACATACAATCACCAATTAAGACAGATATATGCACACTCATGTTCATTGCAGCACTATTTACAATAGCAAAAAGATGGAAACAACCTACATGCCCATCAGTGGAAGAGTGGATGACCAAACTATGGTATATACATATAATGGAATGTTATGCAGTATTTAAAGAATAATGTAGAGTCTGCAAAACACCGCATAATATGGATGAATTTGGAGGACATTATGCTGAGTGAAATAAGTCAATCACAGAAGGACAAATATAGTATTAGTTCATTGTCTGGAAGGTCATATATGGAGGGAAACTTTCTTGTTGGTTCCCAGGGGTGGGAGGAAAAGGGAGGGAACACTGAAACAAAAAGGATTCATGTCACTTTAGTTTTGTGTATTTCACTCTACATAAATTATATTTCAATAAAATGCATTTTAAAAAAAAGGGCATCTGGCTGTTAAAGATCAAAGAGTTAACCCAGTTATTCTAAAACTTTAGCAAAAACAAATAAACTCATTGCCGTCAAGTCAATTCAACTCATAGTGACCCCTCCTTGCGTTTCCGAGGCAATATCTCTATGGAAGTAGATTGCTCAATCTTCCTTCTGAGGAGGGGCTGGTGGGTTTGAACCACCAGACTTCTGGTTAGCAGTCAAGTGCCTTCGGCACTATGCCACCAGAGCTCATATCAGAATACCCTGGAGGGCTTCTTAAAATACAGATTGCCCCATTCTTACTAAAAACCCATCAAGTCAATTCTGACTCATAGCAATCCTATAGAAGAGAGTACATCTGCCCCATAGGGTTTCCAAGGCTGTAAATCTTTACAGAGGAAACTGCCAGACTGCTACATCTCTCTCCCACAAACCTTTTGCTTAGTAGCCGTCTGCTTTAACCACTGCACCATCAGAGCTCCTTGCCCCATCTCTAGAATTCTTGATTTTCTATGTGTTCTCAGCTGATGGCTGCTGCTGCAGCTGCTCCATGAACCACACTTTTAAGAACCACTGGTGGTTATTACATTGTGAGGATTGCAATTAATGTCATGAAGCAAAATCTGTATGAACTGTTGAATGGAAAACAAAATTGCTTTGTAAACTTCACCCACTGGTGGAAGCTCAAGGAATAAAATGATGATGAAATCTCATCCCAGCCACCAGGTGGATGAGGCATTTGGGGAATATTCCCTGGAAATTTTCTGGGGATCCTTTCAGGGCTCCTCCTGAGGTAAGGAGTCTGGTTATCTGCTCTACTTTACCCTCCACTCCTAAAACAGAGCCCTCCTGCCTCATCCTATGGCTCTATAGCTCAGCAGCACATTGGTGAGATTTCCTGTTTAGTGAAGGAGACGGTAATCAAATGCTAACCAAGATGAGAAAAATGGGTAAGTGCAAATGACAGAGGAGCAAAGTGGGAAAGGAGTGGATGAATGTGGAGAATCTGGTAAAGCTGTGGGTCAGGAGAGAGAATGCTCAGGGACATAGTGCTTATGAAAAGCACCAAAAGAAGGGGGAACAGCATTCCAGGCCGAAGGAACAGGATATACAAGGGCACAGAAGGCTGACAGCTTTTAACTTTTCAGGAAATATGATTAATGAGCACCCCTGGGTGGGAGCAATGGTTTGTGCTCAAATTAGGTTGTTCACATTCACCCAGTGGTGAAAGAAAAGCTGGGTGATCTACAACCACTGAAAATTTTGTGGAGCGCAGTTGTACTCTGGCACACATCGGTTCTCTGTGAGTGGGAACTGACTGACACAAGTACAGCACATGCCCAACAGTTTCACTCAGGCATGTGCAATAGATATATGTTACAGTAGAACTTCTCCACAGGGTCTTCTTGGCTGTAATCTTTAAAGGAGATGTCCAGGCCTTTCTTCCGGGATGCCTCTGGGTGGGTTCCAACCACCAGCCTTTAGGTTACGTTTAGGTTGGTTGGGCCACGCAAGCCCAGCTATCCAGGTGATCAAAATCCCTGTCCTGGCATGCTCTGGCCTACTTTCCACGTCGGATTGCTGTGAGGATCAAAAGAGCTTAAAAATATGGCCACTGTCTCTTGCCATCCTTCATGCCGCCCCTTTTCCGTGCCCACACCTTCTATCACGCTAGAACCTAAAAACACACCACTCAGACTCAGATGTTCCCCGTCCCGTGGGTACTTCTCATCTACCGCCGCTGGTGAAGCCTCAGCTTCCGGGCTCTCGAGACTCGGGAGCCGAGCAGAACGTGGACTTCGGGTTAGGCCCCCATCCGAGCCATGACCCTGGAGAGAAGGCAAAAGAGAAGGAGCCCCGAACATGGGGACTACTGCCTCTGCGCTCAGCCTCTGCGCCCGTCCAAGACCCGAGGGTCTAACCTCTATCTACCTGCCGGTGAAAAAAACCTCCACGACTGCGCGCAGCCCTCCCGAAGCTCCAAGTCCACCACCCCAGCCCAGCCTGAGGGTGGGGAAAATTAACTCCAACCTCCTCGGTGTTAATTGCGGGGGCCGGGTCGCCGAGGGCGCCTCTCATTGGCTGGGAAGCCGGCTCGGCGCTAATTGGCTGAAGTGCTCCTCTGTGGTTTTCAGAGGCTCAGGATTGGGCGCCGCCGTGCAGTGACTGGAGAGTGGCTGCCCAGCCTCTCCTGGTTACCCCTGGCAGAGCAGCTTCGGACTCCCGGAGCTGCCTGAGGACGACAACCTTGTCCAGAGCCCGGACTTCCTTCCCGGATCGGTATCTCGTTGCTGCCCTGGAACACCACCGGCTTCCTTTCCGGATACTTTTCCTCCTTAACCTGTTTTGTTTTCTTTTTCTTCCTCCCCGTTCTCCTGTCTCCCAGCTCCATACTTCCTTCTCCTACTGCTGGCCCCCTTAGCCGGCCATCCTAAGCATCTCACCTGCCACCTTCCTAATTCCTACTCCTCCTTGACTTCGAGCCCCTTGACAAACAGGGCCTTCTCAGTAGACTCTCCTAAACCCCTCTATCTTCCCTCTTTGCCCGCTCTTGATCCCCAAATTCCAGCTAAACCTTGACTTCTTGACATTTGGCTGGCATTCTTCACTCTAGACCTATAAATTCCTACGTCCTGAAGCCTGAGCTGCTGAAACTGGGGTCTTCCCCTGACTTCCCAGCCCGTTTTTGAGGCTTATTTTTACATTCTTCCTCCTGGACCGGTTTCCACCACCACTAGCCCACCATGGACTTTTTGCTGAGTGGCCTGGCAGCCTGTGGAGCCTGTGTGTTCACCAACCCTCTGGAGGTGGTGAAAACCAGGATGCAGTTGCAGGGAGAGCTGCAGGCATCTGGCAGCTACCAGCGGCACTACCGAAATGTCTTCCATGCCTTCATCACCATCGGCAAAGTGGATGGCCTGGCTGCCCTGCAGAAGGGCCTGGCCCCTGCCCTCGTATACCAATTCTTGATGAATGGTATCCGATTGGGCACGTATGGGCTGGCTGAGGCTGGGGGCTACCTGCACACGGCAGAAGGCACTCTGAGCCCTCCCCGAAGCGCGGCAACTGGGGCCCTGGCTGGGGTCCTGGGAGCCTACTTGGGGAGCCCCATCTACATGGTAAGAAAAGAATTCTGCCTGGGAACCTTCAAGGAAGACCCATGGTGCAGGATGTGGCCTTGGGCCTTCATAAAAGCATATGTGGCTGAGTGCTGCCCTACTGCAAGCAGGGAAGCACATCAGAAAAGGGTTTGGGGCCTTCTGGTCTGCTCTATACACACCCATCCAATGAAACGATTGATGTGTTGATTGAGATTATAAGCTGTGGAATCAGCCTTTCTGGGGTTCAAGTCCTGGTTCTGAAAATTACTGGTTGTTAAACTTCACTTGCTACATCTGTAAAATGAGCGTAATTTTAATCCCCTTCTTAGGTAATTATTAGGAGAATTGCACATATCCTGGCACACAGTAAGCATTTGATAGTATTTTTATTATTTTGTTATTACATGCTATTGAGGTTGGAGGTAGATTTGTGTAGGGAAGGATGGAAGAATTTAAATAACATACATCAGCAAGTACAGGGATCAGGGGAGTGTCCTGGGCATTGCAGAATTACAATCTCAAAACCTGCCCCTTTGAGTTCATCTAGTGTGGGTGAAGGGCCGGGAGCCTAAGGCCAAGAGAGGAAAAGTGACTAGTTCAAGATCACACAGCTGATTATTGCTGGGACTACTTGTACCTGTTGCCTTTGAGTCAGTTCCAACTCATGGTGATCCTATAGGTCAGAGTAGAAATGCCCCAATAGGATTTCCAAGACTGCAATCTTTACAGAAGCAGACAGCTACACTGGTGGGCTGGTGGGTTCAAACCTCAATCTTTTAGTTAGCAGTTGAGTGCTTAACCACTGTGCCATCCGGGCTCCTTTTGCTAGGACTCAAAAAAACAAAACCAAACTCATGAGTCGGAGTTGATTCTGACTCATAGTGACCCCCATTGAGTTTCCGAGGCAGTAAGTCTTTATGGAAGTAGATTGTTCCATCTTCCTTCTGTGGAGCAGCTGGTGGGTTTAGAACTGACAACTTTCTGGTTAGCAGTCAAATGCCTTAGGCTCCCACCAGAGGACTGTTGTTGTTGTTGTTGTTATGTGCCATCGAGTTGGCCCCGACTCATAGTGACCCCTCCTTGGGTTTCCGAGGCAGTATCACTACGGAAGTAGGATTGCCCAACCTTCCTTCCGAGGAGTGGCTGGTGGATTTGAACCGCCAGCCTTCTGGTTAGCAGTCAAATGTCTTAGGCATTATACTACCAGAGGACTAGGCCCTGCTTAATGCTCCTGGAAAGACAATGGGAGACGGTGTGTCTACAGGAGGGAAGGAAGGCAGACTGGTCTCATTCCCAAGGTGTGAGATTCAGGGACAGTGGCCTCTGCAAAGTCAGCCAAACACATGCCTCATGGCCACATTTTGTAGATGAACCCTCATAACCTGCCTCAAAGTCTGTTGAGAAGCCTGGTCGTTGGGGTTGCTGGAGATCTGGTTTCGGAATGGGAGCTGGCATGAGAAGCTGGATACCCAGGTCTTACCTAAGGGGAACAGTCTTAGGAAATGTTGCTATTCTGCAATCTCTCCACTCCCCTCCCCCACCCTCAGGGGAAGAAGGATGTGGAGGGGGTGGGGTGTCTTGCTGTGCTAAGATCCATCCCCTGGGACTAGAGCCAAGGGACACAGTCTCATGACCAGTTTGTTTAGTGAGAACAACAATAATTATCAGATTAAAAAGGATATTCTTTGCTGAGTACCACAGAGGAAGTGTGAGGGGGTCAAGCATTTGGGTTTTGAAATGGCTGATGGGCATGGGGGCATTAGACTATGACACCCTCTTGTCCCCAGGTGAAGACACATCTACAGGCCCAGGCAGCCTCAGAAATTGCAGTAGGACACCAATATAAGCATCAGGTGAGCATTTCCCAACCCCTCAGCTATTGTCCCTGCCATTTCCCGCTCAGCTTTCTGCCTGTACCAGACAGCTCCAATCCCATTTGCTGCTCTGCCCAGCAGCTCAGTTCAGCCCCACTTTGCCCATAGAGTCCACCCAAACTTTCTTTCCAACATGTATCCCAGTCCCTCCGTCTCCTACACCAGCTTCTCCCACCCCATTCTCCTGACCTGCTAATGTTATCTTCCTTCATACAGCCTCCCCCTATTCTGGGGATGGGGAAGGAGGGAACAATGGGTTGGTAGACGACTGAGGGGCCACATTCTAGCTCTAAACCCACATGGAACTGGTTTTCTAGACAACAGGTACCTTTTAAGGACCCATCCTTGGCAGTGTTAGGAGGTGGCAGCCCTGATGTTAGGGTGACTGAACCCCATCCCCATGGTCTTCCCCCTACCAGGGCATGTTTCAGGCGCTAACCCAGATTGGCCAGAAACATGGTCTAGTGGGGCTGTGGCGTGGGTCCTTGGGCGGCCTGCCCCGAGTTGTCATCGGTTCCTCCACTCAGCTCTGTACCTTCTCATCCACCAAGGACCTCATAACCCAGTGGGAGGTACTGCCCGGAAAAGGGGGCGGGCCTTCCTGGAGATGGGAGAGGGAGGGCAAGCTGAGGTGGACCCTAGAGGGGGCAGTGCCAACATTCAAATGTGAGGGAGTAGCAGAAGGGTTGGGGGTGACTGACTTATGTCAATTCTTGACAGTTCTCTTGTCATTTCCTCCCAGAAGGTGTATCTAAGTCCTCAGGGCACCCTGCACTTCCTCCTTCACAGCTTATCCCATTGTGTTAATAACTGGTGAAGTGTAAGCTCCCCATAACTCTCTACTATATGCCCAGCACAAGGCCTACCCTGTCCTAGGTGATGAATGATTGGCTAACTGACAAAGCTCTTCCTCCTTCCCCTCCTAGGTGTTTCCTCCCCAGAGCTGGAAGGTGGCTCTGGCAGCAGCCATGGTGAGTGGCATTGTCGTGGTCCTGGCCATGACACCCTTTGACGTGGCCAGTACAAGACTTTATAACCAGCCCACAGATGCTGGGGGCAAGGTAAGGGAGTGCTCTGGGGTACAGGCAGGCAGAGGAAGTAAGGGTGGGGGAATGGTTTTTGGTGAGGCCCCTGGTGGGCTTTGACAAACTCCTTCCTTGTGCTCTTCCTCCCTCCCTCTCCAACCTGCCCTCAGGGTCTCATGTACCGGGGAATACTGGACGCTTTGGTGCAGACAGCTCGAACAGAAGGCATTTTTGGCATGTACAAGGGCATAGGTGCCTCGTACTTCCGCCTCGGCCCTCACACCATCCTCTCCCTCTTCTTCTGGGACCAGCTGCGTTCCCTCTACTATAAGTATACCAAATAACAGCTACCCCTTACTTCCACCAATCGGCACTTCTTGGGCACTTCTGCCTCCATTATTAGGTCCTGGGGACTTCTGACCAGGTGACCTTCCATCCATTGAGGGGGACAGCCAACCCCATCTGTTCTCTCAGGGTTGAATCACTACAAGGGATAGTTTCCCTCCCTTCCTTCTTGGGTGTTGTGGCTTCCCTGCCTGCCCCTTGTATACTTTACACCCCTCTCTCAGGGCTGAACCAGTCACTCCAAAGGGTATCTCCTCCTCCTCTACACTGCTGGGAGCTACACTGCTGGCCTTGGGTCCCTCCTGCTCCCATGCACAGCTTTAAATGCCTCCCTCCAAGACCAAAGGGAATTGGGGGGACCCAGGTGTCTTGTTGGAGTCAAAGGCACAGAGATTATACTGATTATAAAGCAAGTTTATTTCTGCAGAGTGGAGGTGTGTTGTGTTGATGCACAGGGAGGGAAGCAGGGGAAACCCAGATACCCAGCCCCTCATGCCTCTTGCATTACTGCCCTTAAGGCCTCAGCAGCATCACGTGGTGTCTCAGTGTCTTGCTTCCGCGTCTTTACTGGGCACTAAAGATGTTGGGATCGTGAAGGGTCAGACTGGCCACTAGCTGTTCAAAGTCACCCAGGGTCCAGGCAGGTGGTGACAGGTTTTCAGGGCCAAGAGATGGTCTATTTTCAAGGCTTAGAGGAACAGATGGAGACAGAACATCATCCAGGCCCAGGTTTGGAAGTTCCCACTTCCTGTTCCCCATGGGACCTGGGTATTTGAGACCCTGAAACTCTGATCCTCACTCGCTTCGAAGACCCCACCAGTCAGTCTCCCTGCTCTGCCCCTCTTAGCCCTAGGGACCCAGTTATGACCCTGCATCCGCCTTGTCCTTCCACCTGTCCTCCCTCCTTACGGGGGCTGATTGAAGGTGAGCAGGACATCAGTCTGGTACTGGGTCAGCCGCAGCAAGGCTTGGTGTACTGTTACCTCCTTTGCTACCTACAGAGATCAGAGTCAGCATACTTGTTGGGCCCCCTAGGGCTACACTCCCCTGTCCCCTTTCCAGGCCATGACACGCTCTCCTGGCCCTCACCTGCTGGTTTTCCTTAGCTATCTGCTGCTTGCCAGCGAGGGCCCAGGCCTCTTGACAGCAGCCCCCCAAGGCCAGGTTCTCCAAAGGAAGGGGCCGCACAGCCTCCACTCGCACAGCCCTAGCACCCTGCACCCCGCCAACGTCCTCAAAGTGGTACCTGGGATGGGGAGAGCAGGATCAGGGAAGGGCATCTCTCCCCGCCCCCCGCGAATGTCTCTAAATCCCACGCTTCGCTCACTTCCTGGAGTATTGCCCTTGGATTTCTCATTTCCCTAATTAATCGCCATGTCACAGGCCCCATTTCCTCGGCTGCGGCTCGCTCACTGGCTGGCCACAGGCCCGCCTTCCTCACCGCGCAGCCTCTTCGCCCAGCACGTGGGCCTGCAGCTCCAAAAGTTCCACGATCAAACTCTGGTCCGTCGTGTGATGGCAGAAAACTTCCTGATTGTCTGGGACCGGTCGGAGGTCACTGGGAAGAAGCGAGGCATTCCCTAGGTGACCCTCGCGTCTTTTCGCAACCCACCCGGTCGACCTCCATCGGCCGCCCCGCCTCCTCACCTTACATCAATCGCCCCGGGGGGGAGAATGGCGGAGAAGGCACCCCCGAACAGTGGATAGTTTCTCGTGGGCTCCATGGGCCTGAGAGTACGGATGGACACTAGAGGGGCTTAAAAAGAAATCCACATGGCGCGCGACCTGGGACCAGGTAGCATCACTACACTCACTTTCCAGCCATCACAGCCACCTCCGGCCCGCTTTAACTCTGGGCCCTTTAAGATTTGGCCCCGCCCCGCGATCGCGATGGCCAATCGGCGCCTGCGCCTTGAGGGCTCAGCGGAGCAGCTGGAGGAAGTCGCTGCTTGGGATGACACCGGATGGGACCGGCAGGTTGCGTTTGGGATGCGGAATTCGTTTTAGGATTTGTGACGCGTCCCGCGATCACTAACTTGCGCCCGCCAGCCTCTTCCTTTTAAAGGAGTCGCACGTTCCTGGAAGACCGCCTGAGACTCTTTAATTGCACCTGCTCGTCTCGGAGGCCTAAGTCTAGATGGGGTCTCTTGAGTTGGGGGAGAATCCTTTCAAGATCTCTGTGAGGCCTCCCTACGACGAACGCGGTGGCAACCAAACCGCTAATTCCAGATCCTTTGCAGGGAATTAGGAGAACAGTGAGGCCAGGTGTGAATCCAGATTAGGGTGCATGCCACACGTCTTCCTGAAAGCGAGACCCAGTCGGGGGATTAGATACCTAATCCCCCTCGAATCTGTGCTTTGGGAACACGGTGCCCCCGCCCCTCCCTGTACACCTGGATGAAAGGACAGATTAAACTCTTGTTTTTCCTTTGCAGATTTTAGGATGTGGATAAGGTTACAGCTGGAGTATTTCCTCCCAGTTAATTTCTCCATTCATCTTTGATCCCCAGCACCTGGTCCAGTGTGCAGAGCATAATCGATCCATTATGTGTTGTCGAATGATTGAATAAACCTATTAGTGCCAATTGCTGGAACCCAGGGAACCACTCAAGGGTTCTAGATGCCAAGAGCTAGAAGAGCAAGGGGATTCTCGTCCTGAGACCATCCCACAGGATTCCAAATGCTGACCATATTTCTGGACTCTAATTGTTTAGTGACAGGAGCACATATTTATTGTTGTTGTTATTTGCCGTTGAGTCGCCCCAACTCTAACCCTAACCCTCCTTGGGTTTCCTAGGCAGTATTACTACGGAAGTAGGAATGCCCAGCCTTCCTTCTGAGGAGTGGCTGGTGGGTTTGAACCGCTAGCCTTCTGGTTAGCAGTCAAGTGCCTTAGCCACTATGCTACCAGAGCTCCTAGGCTCCTTACATTTCCAAGCCCTATGCTGTTGTTGTTATGTGCGGTCGAGTTGTACCGGACTCATAGTGACCCCTCCTCGGGTTCCCGAGGTGGTATCACTACGGAAGTAGATTGCCCAACCTTCCTTCCGAGGAGTAGCTGGTGGGTTTGAACCACCAGCCTTTTGGTTAGCAGCCAAGTGCCTTAGGCACTATGCCACCAGAGCTCCCAAGCCCTATATTAAGGTTAAAGATATAAAAACAATTAGAAAAAAAAAATTTAGGACACAGACCTTGCCTCACAGGACCAATGGAGTAAGCATACTTGGACTGAAGCTTAAAGTTTGACTCAGAGAACTCACCAGAACATCTTAGGTGTGTTCTACCCAGGGGGAGAGAAGGAGGAAAGGCTTGGAAATGACAGGGCCTGGCTTGTATCATTTTGTTGCTAGGGAGCTGCGGGCAATGAGACTGGAAAGGAGACCAGATATACTTGGCTTTTATAGGACGTACTAAGAGGCTTGGACTCCTCATTCCTGATTGTTGGCATCAGACTCTATCTGAGCCTCATTTCCTCACCTCTAAAATGTTTAGAGGGAACTCTGATGGTGTAGTGTCTAGGGCATTTGACTACTAACCAGAAGGCTGATGGTTCAAACCCACCAGCCACTCCTCAGAAGGAAGATTGGGCAATCTACTTCCATAGAGATACTGCCTCAGAAACCCAAGGAGGGGTCACTATGAGTCAGGACCGAAATGATGGCAGTTAAGTATGTTTTGTTTGGTTTTAAAATGTTTAGAAGGGACCATTCTCTGGAGAAAGATGTCATGCTTGGTAAAGTGGAGGGTCAAGGAAAGAGGGGAAGGCCCTCAACAAGATGGATTGACATGGTGGCTGCAGCATTGGGCTCAGGTATAGCAGGGATTGTGGGGCTGGCACAGGACGGGGCAATGTTTTGTTCTGTTGTACATAAGGTTACTATGAGTCGGAGATGACTTGATGACACATAACAACAAAAACAAAATGTTTGGGGGGATCCTTGGCTGGTGCAAACACTTGGCTGCTAACAAAAAGGTTGCCAGTTTGAGTTCACCTAGAGGTATCTGGGAAGACAGACCTGGCAATTTACTTATGAAAAATCAGCTGTTGCAAACCCTGTGGTGCACAGTTCTCTGACACACATGGGATCACCTTGAGTCAGAATGACTCCTTGACAACTCGTAAAATGTTAAGGTTAAATGATATAGGGATATCATTGAATCGGAATCTGTTTCTCAGCAGAGAGTGGTCTAGGTTTCTTCTGTGAAGAACTCTGAAAAAGAGGGGAATGTTATAGGCCCCAAGGAGAAAGAAGGAGCCTGGCCAGGCGGAAGTAAGGGAACCAGGTCAGAGAAATCTACCTCATGCTGCCTATCTCAGGCAGAAGGTGACAGCACTCACTCCCCCCATTTCTGCTGGCCTGCCATCCACCCCCTCTCTCTGCTGTGAGCAACACTGGCTCTGGCTGCTTTGAGAGCAGTGAAGCGGATAAGGAAACCTTGGAAAGGGACCTGCAAGGACATAGACGTTCACAGGGTTCTGGGGCTGGGCACAAGGGGTGAGGGCCTATTGGTGGGCCAGGAGGTGGTCAGACTAGATTTTGGAGGTGGAGGGGAAAGCTCCTGCTTTCCTCTTTGGGTCTCTAGTGTCTCAGGCACCATCCTCTGCTATAAGCTTTGTGCAGCTAAGGGATTCCTAGTCCTCCACAATTCTGTGAGCTCTGAGGGCAGAGGCTAGAGGGGCTCTTTTGAGTGGGAGGAAGCAGACTTCTCTGAGGTTACAGTGGTACCAGGCCAGACCTTCTCCAGAACGTGGGGTGGAAGGTACTCTTACTTGGAAGGTCTCTGCTCTTCATGTCCTTGTCTCTCTGCCTCCAGCACTTTCTTTGTGGCTCTCAATTTCTACTGACCCTCCCAACTCTTGACTCCCTGTGCATGTTCAAATTCAAAATCCCCGAGAGACAGGATCTAATTGAGTCAGCTAGTTGCCCTTCAATCTGAAAGTACCTGTTTACCAAGCTGTCCTGCCTGGCCACTTCCTAGGCTCCAGGACAAATCTCAGCAGGCTGAAATGGCCCACAGACACTTTTCTCAGGAGGATGTGTGAGTATGTCCAGCTTTCAGCTCAGTAGTTCAATTGGACTGCAACTGATTGGTCCTGTACCCCCTGGGATGTTGCCCTATCCAATGCCCTGCATGGAGTTGGTGCAGTTGTTTGCTCTGGGGACAGGTGTCCCAGATTTCATCCCTTTGAGGGGACCAAGAGATGGAAGTGATGGGCTCAGGTCAGGAAGGTGACTCAACACCCAGGCAGGCATCCCTTTGGGAAAAGTTAGGACAATGTAAGTTCCTGTTGAAGGATTTTTTTTTTTTTTTTTACTTTTTATTTATTGTGATTTGGGTTAAAGTTTACAGAGTAAATTGGTTTTCCGTTCAACAGTATACATTTTGTTTCTTGACATTGATTGCAATCCCCACAATGTGAGAGCACTCTTCCCACCGTCTCCCTGTGGTTTGCATTTCCCTTTGTTCTTCTTTCCTATCCATTGTTGCCTTCTGAGATTCATCCTTGGGCAAATGCTGCCTCTCTGATCTCTTAAGGTTAATTGTTCTGAGGAGTATGTATTTCTCTGGTGTTATCATTCACCTATTGTTGGCTGAAAGCTGAGCCACAGGGGTGAGTTCAGTTCCAAACTCAAAGGGTGACTAAGGGCAATAGTTTCAGGGGTCCCAATAATTTCAGGGGTTCCACCAATCTCTACCAGACCAGTAAGCTTAGTATTTTGAGTTCTGCTCTGCATTTTTCTCCCACTCCATTCAGGATCTCCTACTGTGATCCCTTTCAGAGTGGTTGGCACTGGGAGTCTACCATCCAGTTCTACTGGTCTCGGGGTCATGGAGGCTGAAGTTCACGCGGTCCACTGTTAAAGGGTTCTTAAGCTTTTTTTTTCCCTTACCACAGACTCCTTTGGCAGTTTGGTGAAGCCCATGGACCCCTGCTCAGAATAATGTTTTTAAATTCATAAGATACACAGAACCCTAAAAACTCACTGCTGTTGAGTCAATTCCAACTCAAACCCAAGACCCCTCCTTGGGTTTCCGAGGTGGTATGTCTACGAAAGCAGATTGCCTACTCTTCCTTCCAAGGAGTGGCTGGTAGATTTGAACTGCTAGCCTTCTGGTTAGCAGTGAAATGCCGTAGGCATTATGCCACCAGAACTCCTAGGAAATCAAAATCTTTAAATACAGTTAATAAAATTAAAAGCCCAGATTTTTGACATTGTAAAATTATGCTTCCTTATTATCACATTAACCAGATTTACCAACAGGCCTAATAACTAAGGTCAAACTAGTGATGCATATAAATAGTATTTTGAGATACCTGCAACAACCCTAATGTGAGTGAAAATATCTGCGATGTTATTGTGACAAAGTCATTAGAAGTACCACTATGTTGTCTATAATCATAATGAAAGGAAATGCTAAATTTCAGTTAAGAGGTTATTGAAGATAAAGCTGTAATTTTTTTCCAGTTTAAATTCATTAACCACGAATTAAGAAACCCACCTTAAGGTGTTAGATGTCCCTAACCACGCATTAGGCTCTAGGGGAGGATCCAAAAATGTGTGAAACACTCTCTCACTTTCTGAGCCTCCAGCCTGATGGGCTTGCGGTTCACAATCCTGTAACAGGGTACATGTTAGTATCCCATTTTACAGCTGAGGAAACTGCTTTGGAGAAATGCCCAGGTCATGTGGCAATCAGTCATAACCACTGTAGATTTCTA